GGGCCGGGGGCTTTGGTTGGGGGGCAAGGGGCAGCAGGGCTGGAGGCTAGGGGCTGTGGGTGAGGGGCAAGGGGCAGCAGGACTGGGGGCCAAGGGCTTTGGTGGAGGGCAAGGGACAGCAGGGCTGGGGGCCAGGGGTTGTGGGTGGGGGGCAAGGGGCACAAGCAGGGCATCCTGCCATGTACCCCTTGCCCTCATTTTGTTTTTCTGCCATGCCGGCACTCCGGCACCTTCTGAGGTAGGCATTATGTTGTTTTTCGGCACTCCAGCCAAAAACATTGCCTACCCCTGTTCTAAGAAATCTGTTGTCTCCATTCTCCCTCGTTCTGTTAAACAGCCCACCTGACCTGGAATATCTGTTATCTGGGATCTGCCCAGCCTATCTGTTAGTTTTCAAGTGGAATTAAGGTGTTGGGTTTCACCTGATAAGCTTCAGAATGGCTTCAGTCTGGTCTGCTTATTACACATTTTTCTTTTTAGTAAATCCTACTGTAGACCAGCAGGGGGTACAGGACATGAAGTGTATCTTAAAAGAACAGCAGCTACCAATAAGGCATTGTGTCATTAATTGGATTATGCCATTCTGTTCTCATGGGTTTGACACACATCCATGTTACCAACTGATAGCTGTTGCAAAACACTACCATGTAAATGTGGATAAGCGGAAAAAGGTCATCTCTTTCCTATTCTGTATCAGCTGTGGTCTTAAAAAAACAAACCTCCCTCAACATGAAAGAGAGGCTGCTATGGACAAAATACATTTCTTCCCTCTCTACTTCTTACTTTAGAAATCTCTAACTGGAGGAATCTCAAATTACTCTTGAAAGCCTAACTTTGCAAGCCCCAAAAACTTTTAATTGAGCGAGTGGTTCATTAGTGACAGCAGTGTGTGTGTATGAAACGTAAGAAAGGAAGGAGGTTAGTTCATAGAATCATAGAAAATGAGGGTTGGAAGGGACTTCAGGAGATCATGTAGTGCAACCCCCTGCTCAAAGCAGGACCATCCCCAACTAGATCATCCCAACCAAAGCTTTGTCTAGCCAGGTTTTGAAAACCCCCAAGGATGGAGCTTCCACCACCTCTCTCGGTAACCTATTCCAGTGTTTTACTACCCTTCTAGTGAGAAAATTCTTCTGAACATCTAAATTAAACTTCCCTTGCTGCAACTTGAGACCGTTGCTCTGACCGTTCTGTCAGCTACCACCACTGATAATAGATTAGCTCCATCTTTTTTCAAACCCACCTTCAGATAACTGAAGACTGCTATTAAGTCTCTTCTCAGTCTCTTCTCTAGACTAAATAAACCCAGTTCCCTCAGTTTTTCCTCAGAAGTCATGTGCTCCAGCCCCCTCACCATTTTTGTCACCCTCTGCTGGACTCTCTCCAATTTGTCTACCTCCTTTTTTGTAGTGGTGGGCCCAAAACTGGGCACAGTACTCCAGATGTGGCCTTGCCAGTGCAGAATAGAGGGGAATGATCACTTCCTTTGACTGGCTGGCAACACTCCTACCAGTGCAGCCCAGTATGCTGTTAGCCTTTTTGGCAACTAGGGCACACTGCTGACAGCTTTTTGACCACTGTAACCCCCAGGTGTATTATGTGATGAAGATATATATTCTGTTTGCAGTATTTATTGTATTGTTTATCATTTATTCTGCACTATAAGTTTGTCCCAGACCTAAGGAAAATCTCTTTAATTGTAACTACACCGTGGAGGAATTCTGTAATGCAACTGATTGAAGACCAGAGCAGTGATTCTCAAACAAAGGTGCCATGACATGCTGAGGTGCCACAAGCTCCCTTTCAGGGTGAAATGGGGTGCTGTGCAATACTAGCACTAGTAGATATGTGAAAACCTACACGATTCACAAGATAAACCCACATGGGAATCCATAGTGTTAAAAACTTTCTGACCGATTGTGATCTCCCTGAGTTCTTTGCAACAGAAGAATTGCTTTATTATTTTTCTATAATGAGTCAAAAAAAAATTAAGGAAAGCTGAGGTGGGATTTTCTGAGGGGAGTGCCCTTTGCATCTCACAAGGGGTGTTTGAATTTTTAAAAGTTGAGAAGAACTCAATTTTTTTCATTTTTGTTTGTTTTCTGCAGCTTCCTCTTTCTGAATTTTAAAAATGAATTTTAAAATAATTGATACAGTACAGAAATTTAATTTTTGCATTTTAAGAGTAAACAGTGTTTCAAAGGTTGTAAAGGTACATTTTTCTGGGGGGGGTTTGAGGGGCTTTTGGGTTTTTTGGTCAGGAAATGATAAGTTGATCAAGCTTTGAATAAGTCAAACTTCTCAATTTAAGATTGCATTGCCTAATATACACTTTGTTGTCTATTACAGTTTATTGAGAGAACATTCAATTGATGGCACTGGCTGGGCTCCAACTAGAACATTAAAGGTACTATTTTGTTTTGTATATACCTTTTTCTAGTTTGGTATAGCTCTCTTTTATACAGTTAAGATTTTTAAAATATTATATCTGCCTCTGTGCTTGATGAAGATATCTATTTCAGTATTTATATTATATTAGTACTTAGCCCTGCTTCTTTTCTCCGCCTCCTAATTCTTGCTTTCAAAAATGTAGTCACCATTTGCATGGCTATAGAGCTGCACATAGTTTAAAACAAACAGTTGTTTTGGAAAAAACAAAGTATCTGCATAAAATATTTGCTTCACTGCATAAAACAATACCAGACCCAATTCTTTGACTGTTACTTGCATCATGATTTATTGGTTATCTACATATTGGTTAACATGCATAATCTTTTAGGCCCACTATCTAGTTTGTAACATAATTGAACTCTGTTTAATTGTATGATGATTGATTCCAGAAATAGTGACAGGGAAGTAACTTACCTGAATGTTTTTTCATAGAGTACCAAAATCAAGCATTAAACAAGCAGAGGAACAGGCAGTATTGCATAACAGTTTCATGTAAGAAAATAAAAATCATTTGCCCAGTAGGTGTTCTATTTGCATATAGCTACTACATTGTATAATAATATACCGTGTATATATGGTAGCTAAAAAAAGCTCTCTCCCCTAAAGGCTGCCTGAGCCATATACCAAATACTAAGCCTTTCATTGCTGCTTTTTGCATTGTGCTTCACTAAAAACATTTTTTTTACTGTGCTCTTTCACTTGTCGCATTGTTGTTGTATATAATGTTAAAATGTGTTGAAATGGAAAGAAATTCCAAGAATCATACTGGAATTCAATAGTTCTGAACAATTGTAATAGATTTTAGTGAGACCTGCTGTATATTTAAAAATTGATTAAATGAGACCAGGAAAAATTCCAATGATTGAAATACCTTTTCCCCTCCAGTTATTTCTAGCCCATGGAGCAATCTTTTGCAAACACAGTATACAAAATACGAGCATCTTTATACTACCTTATTTGAAAGCTTACAATGTAAATGCAGAAAGACTCTTTGACCTTGACAAAGATTTTTGTATGCTTTGGGGAAATTGCCTAATATTACTACCCATGTTTTTTTTGTAAAAGGAGTGTTTTTGTCTGTTATGCCTCTCAAAAAAATGTTATGTAGCTGTATTCATCACCATTGGCAAAAGCACTTAAAATTTTTGATAGTTATATTCCAGCTCAAGCTTATTTGTTAAATGCATAGAAGTGTGCATGTGTGTGTGTTTTATTCATACACTCAGATCATATACACACACGCATTATTCATATAGAAATATGTATATATTTAAGTGTATATTTAATAAGTACTCTGTGTTGTGCGTATATAAAGCAAATTGGTGTATAGATATGAGGTCATTACAAAAAATGTAGAGCCATGTACTATAATATTCTTATACTGCCCACTAGTCTCTCTCTCTCTCTCTCTCTCTCTTTCCAGTCTCATGCTAGTGTTCCAACTAGCTGCTATTTTGTAAAAATGTAGCCTGTTATGTAGTCTCTTTTTATCTGTCTCATAACCCTTGCTTTAAAAAGCTCTTCTTTTTTTCTCCTCTTTCCAAATGTGGAATCCTCTTCCCAAATTGTTATAGATTTGTTGAGCAAGATGGATGATACTCAATCCTTTTACTAATGGTATATTTAGAGTCCAATATCTCATGCTTCGGTTGGTACAACTGTTTGTAGGAGGGCATCCCATTGCTGGGGGGAATGAACACACCAATCTACCTAGTACAGTGTTTTAGTATGTTCTGAAATGGTTTAAAAATATTTTCTAAAAATGTATGGCATTATCAAATAAGACGTATACATAACAATTTTATTGACTTCTGCTGGTAATGCACCTATCTTGAACTCGAGCTATAAAAATTTAAAAAATGGACCATACTAATGTGTAATTTTGTTTACAAACATCTGAAAATAGCTTTACATGAACACCAAAATGACAGCCTCTTGTAGATGGGGGAGAGCAGTAGATATGATTATACTTTGATCTTTCCTAGGCTTTTGATGTTATCTCTCATAACGTTCTTATTAGTGAGCTAAGCAAATAAGTCTAAATGAAAATACTCCTGAGATGCATACCTAACTGCTTGCATTATTGTACACAATGAGTAGGTACCAGTGACTTGATGTATAATTGGGGGAGGTATCAAGTGGGTTTCTTGGTTCGGTTCTGGGTCTGGTATTTAATATCTTAATGTTTTGGAGGATGAGATGAAGTGCATACTTAAATTTACAGATGACACTAAGATGGGTGGAGTTGCAGACATTGGAGGGTAGGATTAGGTTGGAGAATGGCCTGGATAAACTGGAGAAATGGTCTGAAATTAACTGGATGAAGTTCAGTGAGGATAAGTATAAAGTCCTGAACTTAGGATAGAACAATTCTATACACCAATACAGGCTGGGGAATGACTGCAGTGCTGCTGAAAAGGACCCCAGGGGGTTAAAGTGGACCATAAACTGAACGTGAGCCAATATGCTTCTCTTGATATTCATCCCTTTCAAGTTGAGGGAAGTGATTCTTCCTGTCTGTACACCACAGATAAGTATTGAGACCACCTTGAGTACTGTGTCCTGTTTTGACTGCCACACTTCAAAGAAGACATGGGCCAATTCGAAAGAACCTGTTGAAGAGCAGCAAAAATTATTAGAGGTCTAGGTAACATGATTTATACAGAAAGGCCAAAAGAACCGGGATTTTGTAGTCTGGATAAGAGAGGGTGATGCTGGTACTTGATAACTAGGGATCCGGGCTTTCCGTTTCCCACAGAAAAGCGGAGAAAACCACGGATTCCTGGTTTTTATTAGAGAAAACGCAGATTTCCCTTTTTAGCAGAGAAATTCGCAGATTCTCCGCTTATGCAAAAAGCTCTTGCAGGCTGGCACAGCACCAGCCTGCAAGAGCTGATTGCAGAAAGGGCGGGAAACCCCCAGCCGTACCCGGAAGGGGAGGGGAAGGGTGGGACCTGAGCCTCTGAGTCAGCCAAGGCTGGGGTCAGGCTCAGACTCACCGCTGCTGGAGCCTAGAGGTAGGTGTGGCTTGGGGGCTGTGGGGCAGGGCTGGGAATGGAGGCTGAGAGCAGGGGGTGCTACCAGTGCCAGGCAGCATACCACAGCCAGAAGCAGGGCTAGGGGGTGTGAGGGCAGGGGTGTCCGTCTGTGGGAGGCTTTGCGGGCAAGCGATGCAGGGTGCAGTGTGGTGGTGCCTGCCATGTGTGTGCCCCGCACATGCTGCCCGGCTGGCTTCCCAGGGGATGGTGGAGGGGGAGGCTGGCATGCAGTTGGCTGCACAGCTCTGGGGCCAGCTCTGCAGCGGTGGTGAGGGATGGTGGCTGGGGGGGCCTGCATGCGGTGGCCGCTGCTGCCTACCTGTAGGGCCGTGCCAGCGGTGGTGATCGCTGCCTACAAAACCCACCTACGCCACCACGGAACTGTGCCCAGAGCTGTATAGTTGGCCGCAGGGCAGTAGCGGCAGTGTGGCAGCTGGACGGCATGCAGCCATCCCCACCCCGTGCCATGGGGCGGCCACGGTCACCACCACAAGTGTCACTGCCGCCCTGCGGCCAGTTGCACAGCTCTGGGCACAGCTCCGTCGCGGCGTAGGTTCTGTATGCAGCGGCTGTGTCTGCTTGCACGGCCCTAGAGGTAAGCGACAGCAGCCGCTGCGTACAGAACCTCCCCAAACCACTGTGGAGCCGAGCCTGGAGCTGTGTGGCCAGCTGCAGAGCGGCACTGTGGTGGCGGCCATGGCCACTTCATGGCTCAGGGTGGTGGTGGGGATAGCTGCATGCCATCTGGCTGCCACCACACTGTTGCTGCTGCCCTGCAGCTGGCCTCACAGCTCTGGGCACTGCTCTGCAGCGGCACAGGGAGGTTCTGTAGGCAGTGGCCATCACCACTGGCATGGCCCTACAGGTAAGCGGCAGTGGCCGCCACATGCAAGCCCCTCCTGGCCCCCCAGCCACCATCCCTCACCACGGCTGCAGAGCTGGCCATGGAGCTGTGCAGCCGTCCGCATGCAAGCCTCCCCCTCCCCTGGGAAGCCGGCCGGGCGGCATGTGTGCAGCCCGCACATGGCGGGCACCACCACACTGCACCCCGCATTGCTTGCCCACAAAGCCTCCCACAGAGGGGCACCCCTGTCCTCATCCCTTGGCCCTGCTCCCGGCTGTGGTGTGCCGCCTGGGGCCGGCAACACCCCCTGCTCCCTCAGCCCCCAGCCATTTTCTCCACAGCCCCCGAGCCCTACTTGCCTCTAGGATCCAGGGGCGAAGGGCATGGCTCCATGGTGGCAGCGCTTGCCTGCGTAGCCCCCCCAGTCAGCACGGGAGCCGCCACTACCCCACAGCACTGTGGAGCTGTGCAGCTAGTCACGAGGCATAAGCAGTGGTGAAGTGGCAGCCTCTGCATGTAAGCCCCCCTTTGCACCCCCCGGCTGGACGGCACATATGTGGCCCACACAGTGGTTGCTACCGCACTGCTGCTGCCACACCCTGTGTCACTTGCCCACAAAGCTGTGTGGTTGGCCATGGGATGGTGGTGGCAGTGGCAGAGTTGCGGTGGCAGCCTCCTTTTTGATCTGCCCCACCCCTTCCCCCCACACACACTTATCTGCTGGGATGGGTGTCAGTATCTGTGTGTGCCTCTGTGTGTGCATGTCTGTGGGTCAGGGGGCTATTGTGAGGGGCATCAAGAGGGCTGTTGAGATTGTTGTGGGGGAGTGCGGCTCACACAGATTTGGGGTTTTTAATTGGAGAATTTGCAGTTTTTAATCGGAGAAAACCAGGATCCCTATTGATAAGTGTTTAAAATGCCTGAAGTGTAGTTATAAAGAAGATGGATATTAGACTATTCTCTCAGACTGCATAGAACAACTCTTAAATTGCAAAAAGGGAAATTTAAATTGGATTTTAGAACTTTCTCAATATGAGGGTGGTTAAGAATTGCAACCGAATACCTGGAGAAGTA